ACGGGAACCACTGAGCCACCCTGCCACCCTTATTTATTTATATATTTATACACCCTTACAAACGTTTAAGGTTTTTAAGGTTTTAAATGATAAGGTTTAGGATTTTGAAAAACGGCCATGGGAGGATTTAGCATAACAAAATAACATGCGCCTTCCCGCAACTGTTGTAAACAATACCCAAAATCACATTTACGCAGATTTCCCCCCTATAATCACCTATGCCAGGACAACAATCTACTAAAGAAACGATAGCCTTTTCTCCAAACAGTTTGCTGTTAATGCAATTGTGCGTGTAATGGATCCCTAATTCAGTTTCAGGACGAACAGGAACACTTGTTCCACGATGACGCAACCTCCAAATCGAGCTTTTAATTGTTGCGTGTCAAATTATCTGCATTCTGATAACAGTGGTTAGAAAAGCCTTAGAAATCGTTTCTAATTATAGTGTACGTTTAGGCGTAAGTGGACAGATTATGAAATTGTAGGGTGTAATACTCAGCATGCTTCTCTTGTACCGGAAGACATCTCTCAGTTTCGCTTTATTTGCTGCTTACAAAAACAGCGAGTGTTTCCGCACCTTCCCCCAGGTGTTGATTGACCATTTATTAAATATGGAAGATTTGATGGCACGTGCGCTGATTGGATATTTGGTCCAGAGCTGTTTGACTGGCCTCTTCTGGTAAAACCCTAATCAGGAAGAGAGGAGCCGCAATCAAATGGAGAGGCTGCCGGGCTTCCTCTTGTTGCTAAGAGACAGGTGTAAAATGAAAGTTCTGCTCTGAAGGAGCATTTTCTGTAATTGTGACTGTTCTGAACAAAAACAGGTCATATCTTTCTTCCACAGTTTGAAGGTACAGGGGTCTATTGACAGTTTTTTGAATATCTGCCATATGCTGTCAAGCATGGCAAACACTGAGCTTTCTGCAAGTTCTGGGCTATTGCAGATAATGACTAGATCGCCGTTCAGTGTTCTGTGTTTGCTGTTAAATAGAAAAAGACCAATTATTGCTGGTGTTGCATATATCTAATTGACAGATAAGCATTTATATGTATATTACTAATGGTCAATATGATTTGAAGTACATGGATGAGCCTGAGATATTAGTTTCAGCAGTTGTTATCTGGGAATAACACAACGTGGCTCATTCTGAAAACGTAGCCCTATATACATTTCTAGAGATCTCGAATTATGTAGCCAGAAGTACCTATGGCTGCATTTTGTCTTAAACACATACACTATGCGATGGTATGATACCATTCCTTTACCTCTGTATGGACATTTTGTCCACTGTTGCCAGTTTGTCCAGTGGCTCTTTGAATAGGTCGGAGTATTTGAGATGCAGAGTGGAGTTAACCGTGACAACGGGGTTCGAGTCCAGCAAATAACAGTTTCAAAAAGCATTTAAGACAAAAACAAAAGCCAAAAAATTAAACATACAAGTAAATAATAGGGAGATAATGTGGTATAATCTGAAAATGTGGTTAAAATCAGGCTGCCGCAAGAGCTTTTCTTTTTCTGGATTGCTTTTCAAAACAATGCCGGTTGGATTTATGGAAGTGGGTGGGCTCTGGTCTATTGGTGCTTTGTAAAACACTGTGGGTAGGTTTTAGGGAAGCGGGTGGGTGGGGATATCGGTCGGTCAGTCAGTGAGTCAGTTAGTCAGTCAACAGTAGTCTCTGGATTTACGTTAGAAGAGCAGGCACGAATGGCACTTGCGAGATAAATTTGAGATCTCAAAAAACATACACGGGGGCCTTTGGCAGATTCTTGAAAACAAAAAAAAAAACTGCAAAAGAACGTAGCTCCTGGGACGCATTTGGCGCCCTCCAGAAATGTATATAGGGGTACGTATCAGAATAAGCGTGGGTTGGAATAAAATACCTTGAATATAGTAACTGACCAATCAGAATTAAGCATCCCAGAGAGCCATGTAGTAAATAAGATGTGCAAATACAGATGAAGTCAGAATTATTAGCCCCCCTGAATTATTAACCCCCCTGTTATTTTTTCCCCTAATTTCTGTTTATTTTATCTTTATCATGATGACAGTAAACAATATTTTACTATATATTTTTCAAGACACTTCTATACAGCTTAAAGACACTTCTATACAGCTTAAAGTGACATTTAAAGGCTTAACTACGTTTTTATATATATATATATATATATATAAATGGATTTGTTAAACATCATTTGGAAAATATATAAAAAAAAATAAAATAAAATCCAAGGGGGGTGGGGGTATAATATATATAATACATAATATATATTTTATTTATTATAATAATATAATAAATAAAAGGGAGGGGGGGGGGGGTAATAATTCAGTCTGTATACACTCAAAAATGTCTTTTGGTGCTTGTTCAAATTCTACACAATTCTTGATTTTTAGGGACAACTTAATTGCTTTATGTTTAATTCATATAGATGTGTTAAAACAAATGATTAATATAACTTAATAAATTTGTGTAAAGACACCATGTGGAAATTGTGCAGATCCCAGCGGTTTTTACAGTATAAATAAATATGTAGATTTTTACATTGAGGTACATATATAAGTCAGAATTATAAGACCCCCCCCCCCCCCCTTATTTTATTTATTTATTTATTTATGTATTTATTTTTTAAATATTTCCCAAATGATGTTTAACACAGCAAGGAAATTTTCATGTCTGATATAATTTTTTATTTTCTTCTAGAGAAAGTCTTATTTGCTTATTTGTAACTCCTGCCTAGTTAACCTAAATAACCTAGTTAAGCCTTTAAATGTCACTTTAAGCTGAATACTAGTATCTTGAAAGATATCTAGCAAAATAGTATTTTACT